GTAGGGGGAGAGAGAGAGAGAGAGAGATTTATTCTTGTGGAAACGTCTTGGACTGGTCTTGTTTTGTGGGTTAGGTAAATCTTGACTAAAACTCATTGAAAGAGATATATGAAGGTTGGTCACTTTACCTTGAACCTAAACACTTTAGATTAACTTCAAACAACTCCACATTCTTGTTTACGATGTCTTACAATGTCACAGTTGAACACTACCCAGACAAAAACCACCGCCTTCGCATTTGCAGTAGATTCTTCGGAGATCGTTCTTCCATTAAGATGTCATACACACACATATATAGATGAAAATCCTCCATATCCAACCGCATTTTAGTTAGACAAGTTGAGTGATACGCTGTTTATGTTATTTTTTTTTTGGTTTTAGGGAAGGAGAGGGAAAAAAGGGATTTGAACTCTTGACCTCAAAAAAATAAACCCTTCATAAAGTAATGAGTACCATTAGATCAAAGAGGGAAAGGGAGCTTGAACGATACTTATGTTGTAGCCAGTTATGTCTAGAATAAATAGACGACATACTATGAAACATTTTAATCATCCCAGATGACAATTTGGCCTCAACTACATGTATTAAGAGAAACGAACCATATACAAGAGATCTTGGATTCTTTTTTGAGGTTCAAAAATCCGAATTTTAACAACGAGATAAAAACATATACATAAGTTTGAAAAGGTCTCATCTATATNTTTGTTTTAGGGAAGGAGAGGGAAAAAAGGGATTTGAACTCTTAACCTCAAAAAAATAAACCCTTCATAAAGTAATGAGTACCATTAAATCAAAAAGGGAAATGGAGCTTGAACGATACTTATGTTGTAGCCAGTTATGTCTAGAATAAATAGACGACATACTATGAAACATTTTAATCATCCCAAATGACAATTTGGCCTCAACTACATGTATTAAGAGAAACGAACCATATACAAGAGATCTTAGATTCTTTTTTGAGGTTCAAAAATCTGAATTTTAACAACGAGATAAAAACATATACATAAGTTTGAAAAGGTCTCATCTATATTGATTTGATCATTTCTCATATATCAAACTCAATTGTCGGTACTGTTTGGGTGTTTTACAATTAGTTTAATCAGGAGGAAATGTATATACATATACGCTTGAATCAGGAAAACCTTCAAGTCATACATCCACGCTTAAGAATTCATTAAGTCTAGCTATTGAGAAGTAAGTATCATTAGGATTGTTGACTTTTGATAAACTGACTCATGTTTGTCAGGACATCGGCAATAGAATACATTTTATTTTCTAGTTAATTGCCCATTATATTTCGTCTCTTATAGCCCTTATATCCGAGCAGCTCGAGGTTAACTTGAACTTGGTTTAGTTTTAGCTCTTTTTATACTCGTTCATATTATAAAAAGTGAATTAAGTCTGATCNTTTCGTCTCTTATAGCCCTTATATCCGAGCGGCTCGAGGTTAACTTGAACTCGGCTTAGTTTTAGCTCTTTTTATACTCGTTCATATTATAAAAAGTGAATTAAGTCTGATCAAATTTTCTAGCTAGACTCGTTTTATAAATAATGTGAATCGAGAATACATACTCACCTCTTCTCGAATAGTTCTATGTTTATATCTATAGATTTAGGTTTATTACCAGCTAATTCTCATTCGGAAGAAAAGCAAGCCCAAACCTATCCCAAATAGCTACAGATCATAGATGCACTTCCCCCTCCCTCATTACTTATTATATTAGCATCCCAAGCCTATCCCAAATAGCTACAGATCATAAATGCACTTCTCTCTCCCTCATTGCTTATAATATTAGGTTTTTTAAACTTTGAGAGTGACTGTGGCTGGTTTGTGACATTTTTGTTGAAATATGCATTGTCATATAATTGATTATTAAGTTCTTTGATTCATTTTTGAAACTTTT